TGTGTGTGTGTGTGTGTGTGTGTGTGTGTATTTAACTTTGTTTTGGCCTTTAAACCCCCCCTTTTGTTTTGAACCTCCATTCTAAAAGGGAAATAGTATTAAGTGTATTTTCCCAGTTGGCAAGACAAACTGAATCTTAAGCGTTAAACTTACAGGGGGCTGAGTGGATGTGCAAAATTTGCGATTTTACTCTTTTTTCTTTTTCTTAATAAAATGTACTGCTAATTGCTTAAAATAATTCTACCTCTGAGAAAACTGAGAAATGATTCCTTGAATTACTACTTATTACAACTAAGGTATGGAGAAGAACCTCTCTGAATACACAATGCATTAAACCTTGAAGCAGGAGCAGAAGACCACATTTCTTCTGCAAGATTCAGATGGTACGTTGATGGTGGTGTAATGTGTGGAGATATTTTTTGGCACACATTGGGCCTCTTAGTGACAAGTGAACATCATTTAAACAACACAGCCTGCCTGAGTAATGTTGCTGACCATGTCCATCCCGTTATAACCACTGTGTACTAACTGTGGTCTTATCAGTGTACAAAGCTTAAATAATCTCAAACTGATTTCTTGAACATGACAGTGAGTTCACTCACTCACATGACTTCCTTTGAACTCTAGTGGACTTTATTGAATCTATATTACCAAGAACTGAAGCAGTTTAAAAGGCTTGGCCTGCCTCAGTAACACTCTGGATAAAGACCTGCAACACAATTTAGCACACTCAAGTGTCACTGTGCTTTGAGGGCTCAGGTGGAGTAGCAAAACACTATTTAAGAACCAGTCCATTTGCTATTTACCATGTCAACTTTTTCCATTATCACAGTTAAGTAGTGGAAACTGAAAAATCAGAATGCAAGCCAGAAAGTGAAATAGTTTTTCTTACATGAGACTACATCCACATTTGTATGATGTGAACTGAAATAAACTAAAGGTTAAAGGTCATTAACTGAAACCCAAGGGAGTGTGGATCTGAAAATGAAAGTTAAGATAAAGAACATAGTGGGTGTTTATAGTGGTACACATTTTAATTGTTTGAGCATCTGTGTGCTTGGAGATAATCATCTGAAAGAAAACACAAAGATGATCAGAATGAGCATCATCAGCCTTCATTTTAGATACATTTAGAATCTTGGAGATGATCAAATGCAGCATTATGAGTGGGCTTCATCACATTTGTCATCCACCAGTCCTTATTTATCCAGAATACAACTCAGTTCTTTCCAACAGCTGTGCGGTTAAAATTTACAAAATACCAATAGCTTGTTAGTCAAAATCCATGCACATTAAAGACAACTGTTCATCAAATTCCAAGAAAAATAATTCTATTGTTCTTTTTCACTGTAATAAATGATAGACAACCATAAATAACTTCATAAATAAGTTACATGTCAGGAATGAAAGCCTTCCTCAGCTTGTTAGACCTTGACGCCCTAAGAAAATAAATCATGGATGCAGTTTTAGAGGAAGCAGTATGACTGTAAAATTATGCATATCTCCAAACTTTCATCTAAAATGAAATATTAATTATTATCTTACGTTTCTGCTTGTATTTAAATGAATACAAATGAAGGTAATGCAAAACAATAAAAGCTATTTGAAGGGTTTATTTCATTTCTTTTTTCGTCACATAAATGTGTTCTTCTAATTGAGAATTTAAAAAAAAACAGATGGTGTTTTGCTCTTTTTCGACACATAGTGATAAAATCTTTCAAATGACATGGAGATTAAACAATTTAATTAACTATTTCTTGGACTCTGAAAAGTGCGCAGGGCTTATTGATCTCAGCAATCAAAGAGGCTTACTAAAGCTCAGCAGATCTGTACCGGAAAAACTAAATAAACTGCTTAAGCAACGTAAATCACCCACTGTGAACACTGCTGCAATGCAGAATCAACAGCACTAATCAGGGCTAAACAAAAAAAAAGTTGCAATTAAATTGCTGCTCATGCAGGCTGAGACAGTGTCTCTTTAGAAAACTAAGCAGCTGGCAGAAGGAGTACAATGCTGGAATTCGGGTCTCTGTAATAGCGATGACACCATAATTTTAGAATAACACCTTCACTATGGAGAGCCCACTGGAGGAACTGGGGGATGAGGGCCATTTTCCTCAAACCATTTCATTGCCTTCAGAGAGACTTTAGAGACTTTTGGGCTTCGCTGCTGTTCTAATAACAGGTATTGTTCCCTGAATTTTTTTAGTCTATAACTAGTGCCTGTGCTTCTATTTTCTCTCCAGGCTGACATCTCAAAGTGTAGAAAGCTTCTGCTCATCATGGCAGGAACCCCGATTTTCTGCACAGCTCACTTCTCCATCTGGATTCTGTCTGAGACCTTCCTTCTATAACTACCCCAGTGGCTCTCTGGTAAAATAACAGTGATTTGATGGTGATTAATGCCTTCTTTGCTGCTAAGAAGTTCTTAATTTTGAATGACTTATTCTGACAAGAGGAACTAGATTTTATGCTTCTCTCTGAGAAGCATGAGAACGTCTCAGATTTCTTAAAACTACATTCAACACACTGTTCATTTTTCTCTGCACCACAGATTTCTAGTTGAGGAGGTTGAACTGCCAAAGAACTTTAAAAATAGACATCTTTGTGTCAGTTGACTTTTTCAGTCTCTAGTTACTCCATCAAGTTGATTTTAATTACAATTCTAGAAATTCACCCATTGTATGGTATTATAATATATAAGCAACCTGGTTCTGCTGCATATTTTCCCTTGGACTTTAAGACTTTAATTTTCTACCGTTGAAAGTAGGCAGAATTATGATAATCAGGCATATCAACATTCCTGCTGAACATATATCAAACACTACTACTACAAAAGAGTCCTTCAGCATTATAAACTCTTATTTTGGTTCCAAGTGTTCTTTTGTCCATCTAATAAGTTCAGCATTTGAAATCTTGAATGTTGAACTTAGCCCAGAGGGGAATATTTGATTCCTCTCTGAGCTTTAACTCAGATGTAAAATGTATTTCCCATTCTTGTTTCTTTCATTTAAATTGCTTTTTTTATTTTGCTGATGGCTTCTGACTACTGACATATTCTAGTAATCTCAAATTACTTCTATTTTACATTCTTTACAATGGTTCCCAAAATTAGAAATCGTTGAGCCCTAAATAGACATACTGTAGAGTATTTAGCCTACCTTATACTATATTGCTTTCTCGCTCTGAAATCTTAAAAAAGACAGGTCTTCTATTGAGTCTTATTGGTATTTGCTTGAATTCATCTATTCTGTGCCTTAAATTGCTTTTAATATTTTTATACTGCTATTAACTGTACTTTCTTGTATTTTTCTTGTGATTCATGCTATTTTTAAAAAATTATTTTAGTCCATTTTGTTGTATAGCACTTCATTGCTATTTGTCTGTGAACAGCACTTTATTATTAAACTTTTTGCTTACTTTCCATTCTGCCTCTCTGTCATGTCTCTCTACCTTTTTATTCTGTCTCTCAATCAACCCTGTCTCACTATTTCTATGACAGACAGACAAAGGGATGATTGAGAGATAGAAGCATGACAGACAGACAGATTACAGAGTTAAACCATTTTCACACAAGAATTTTGGCCACTGTCAGGAGAGTCAGTTCAGGATTTGTCTGAAGTTTTCTTTTGTCACGTGTAGCACAACGTGTGTCTGCTTCAGACATTCTCCCACTACTGGAAATGCTGTCTGGTTTAGTTAAGGGAGCTTCAAGAATGCATGAGGCAGAACACATGACACCAACCAACTTTAGCTCCAGCTGCACCATTCGCACTTTTTGCCTAACTTTTCCTTAATACTAGACCTTATTTGCTCCCAGTAACAATTCTTTCCTCCTCACAGAAAACCACCACACTTCTTGATGCTAAATAAAGTGTTAGTTAAAGCGTTATTAATAAAGTGCAAAGGTGCTCCTGTACAAGTTATAATTGTATATAACTTTATTATATAAGGATAATATAAAATATTAAAATGTTAAATTTAAGAGAATTTGGTCAAATTAAGTTTACTTCATTGGCATGCCTTCAGTATATGTCAAACATATGTTCCTTAATGATTGTTGATTTTATGTATCAGGAAAATGTACAAACATGATAAACAGACAGACTGAAAAATAGGTAAATATTCTATACAAAGGTTTTGGTCCTGTTAACTCATGAGTGCGTACACTGTCTTGGTTTATACTTCCCAAGTGTAATGAGTTAGGGGCTCCCAGTTGTGTGCATCGGTACAACATGCTGCTGTGACACACCTATGTCAAGGACACCCCCCCCCCCCCAAAAAAAAAAAAAAAAAAACAACAACCCCAAAACAAACAAACATCACATTCTTGTTGCTCTCTTCAAGATTATGGCTTCTGTGTCTATCTATTTAAAGTTGCTGAGGATCTGAAATTCACACAAAATGACCTGAGAAGGAACAGAGGGCACAATAAAGATACAAAAAAAAGAACAAAGGGTATTATTCTTAAAAAGGGGAAGTTA